GGACTGCTGGCAGAACTGGAAACCTTCTTCAGGTGGGTTTTTTGGTTTGTTTTGTTTTTGTTTTCAAGATGGAGCCTTGGTCTGTCACTTAGGCGGGAGTGCAGTGGTGCAATCTCAGTTCATTGCAGCCTCCACCCCCCCACCCTGGGTGCAAACAGTTCTCATGTCTCAGCCTCCTGAGTAGCTGAGATTACAGGTATGTGCCACTGTGCCCGGCTAATTTTTGTATTTTTTGTAGAGACGGCATTTCACCACGTTGGCCAGGCTGGTCTCGAACTCCTGACCTCAAGTGATCTGCCCTCCTCAGCCTCCCGAAGTGTTGGGATTACAGACATGAGCCACTGAGCCCAGCCCCTTCAGATGGGTTTTGAGGCTTCACTACAATACTAGTTTCCCGTGGCTGCTGCAACAAATTACCACACAGTGACTTAAAACAACACGAATGTATTCCCTTACAGTTCTGAAGACCAGAATTCTAAAGTAAGTCCCACTGAAGCAAGGTGGGAGCAGGGTTGTTGCCTTCCGAGGCTCTGCAGGAGAATCTGTCTCCTGGCCCTGGAGGCGGCCTGCACTTCTCAGCTTGTGCTGCATGTCCTGAATGACTGGAGTTTCCTGCTTCCGTCACTACACCTCCCACCCTCTCCATCACCTTCTCTGCTCTTGTAAGGATCCGGGTGAGTACATTAACCCCGCCAGTACAAGCCAGCCAAAGACCCTTAACTTCATTATATCTGCAAAGCCCCTTTTGCCATACAAGGTCATGTTCACCAGTTTCCGGGATTAGGATATGGGCATCTTGGGGGCATCAGCCTGCTACAGCTAGGCTGCAAAACTGTTATACCTTCCTGGTGTTTCAAAGATTGAGAGAAAAAGGGTTGGCATTTTTTGCTTAGGGGTCCCTCTTAAACTTGTACCTTTAAGGTCTGGGGTCCCTTTTAACCTTGTTTTTGTTTTTGTTTTTTGTTTTTTGAGGTGGAGTGTTGCTCTGTCATCCAGGCTGGCAGTGGCATGGTCTTGGCTCACTGCAACGTCTGCTTCCTGGGTTCAAGTGATTCTCCTGCCTCAGCCTCCTGAGTAGATGGGACTATAGGCACCCACCACCATGCCTGGCTGTTTTGTATTTTTGGTAGAGATGGGTGGGGGTGGGGAGGGGGGTTTTGGCTATGTTACCCTGACCTCAAAGACATCCGCCTGCCTCTGCTGCCGAAGTGCTAGGATTACAGGCCTGCACCACCACACCCGGCTGCTGTAAAGACTTATTTCCACACAGCTGAGACAAGTTTTAGGAAGTTTGCTAAAAGACCCCTGGAGACCTCCTCTTTGTGGCCTCCCTGTTACCGTGTTTAATTTGATTGAACTTTTCTGCCCTCCTGCTTTTCAACTTCTCTAATAGTCTCTCATTAAACCAATTCTAAGAACCACCAAAAAAGGGAAAAAATTTTTTCAAAGCAGTAAAATGATGTGGACTGTTAGAATGTAAAATATATGAAATAAGTTCTTACATGTTAGTGCTGCTCTGACATAAGGACATATTATTGAGAATCAGCTTTTGCTCAGTTTTCAGAGAAATGGAATAATCGTATTGCTGATCTACATAAGCAAGTTGAAGAATTGTCTGAAAGAAAATATGGTATGTCTAAACTGGAAAAGTCCTGTAATCCTGTGTTCATGAGCATTTACACAGTGGAGTTACTCTTCATCATGGGGGTACCGTGGACAGGCCCAGGGCTGCCGGTGAGTCATGCCTCCTTACACATTTCTCCTTGTCAGGTGCTTTGTAGTGTCTAAATATTGGAAACATTCTCTGTTTCTAAATTGCTACAAAGCTAAGGAAAAGTTGTGTTTCTTTAATTATTAGCATTTCTTTTAAACTTTCAGCATGGAGATTGGGAATTTATTTACATATGTATTGCAAAGCCCTTCATCTTAGGGATTTCATTGAATTATTATTATTATTATTTTTTGAGACAGAGCCTCACT